CAGAAGCTGGTAGTCTGAGTTTTATGAATTTTATGGTGCTAACTGTAGATTTGGGGTTTGTATTTACTTTTATTAGACTTTAAACCTTGAAGATCCAGAAACTGTTGGTACAAATCTTTCTGTCCGGAGAGTTGTGCTGCTCATGTGTTTTTAACGCTAAATGTCTATCCCATATATAATTCATAGGTATAAATAAGTAGGGAGCAGCTAGTACCACAACATCCAGTGCTTTTAGGCTTGCCCTCTTTTGGAGGCACTTATTCACAGCTCTTATTTCATGTAATCCTACATTAGTATTTCCCACTGCATACACATACTATGAACATAATTTACTTTTCCAGGAGCAGACTCTTGCTGTTTACTTTTACAGAAGCAGGCAGATGCTATTGACTCATTTTCGTTTCATGACCAGCGTGCCAGTAAAACAAATAATTCAGATGCAGCTCTCAATATATGGTGATGGGAAACCTTCTAACCTCAAATTCATTTGCTTGTACTTTGGCCTGGAGTTCTGGTTTCTAAATAACAAGACCTTTTCCTAAATGCAGAGCACACTGGTTACTGCTTTTAATCTCAGCATCTTTCTTATTTGCTGCTCACTTACTACCTAAACTGAAGGTAAGACTGAGTGTGCGTGTTTCCCTGACTCTTAGCAAGGTACTGTAGAGAAGCAATGTCTTCATTCTTCACCCAGGCATCTTGCAGAAAAGCTTTTTGGGCACTGTGTGTGTAGGAGAGCAAAATGACAGGGTAGGCAGAGGAGAAAACTTGAAATCTGAATTCAGATAGCATCTTAGATTTATTTCATGGTGAATCTAAGGAGTCTGGTTATTATTTTGCTGTGAGGTTCTCTAAAGCCCTGTGTGGATCACCATTTTGTAACAAGGTGGATTTGATTGTGTAAGCTGAATTCAAGTCTTTTAGATCTCGGAGAGAGGCGTGTACTGTTTGTACTTCGCATCATGGAGATCCTTACTTTTGTAGTCACTAGATGACTGAACATTTTAAACCATTCAGTCCCCCTGAATGGAAAATCCCCCTGTCAAATGTGTAATACTGATTTTCATTATAACCCAATCATATAGGCAGGCATGATCTTCCGAACTTCTGTGCTGTTGCTTTTAATGAGATACCTACATATGGGAGCCTTTTGTAGACTTTGTACAAGAATTGTTGAGCTCATCTCTGTCTTGCAATTTTCTGCATGATTTTGGAGCCAAGGGATTGAAATCACTGAATAGTACTCAACAACATATCACAATCTATACACTAAAAGATTATACTTTGATTGTTTTCTGCTTAATCACAGAGTAGCAGAGGTTGAAAAGGACCTCTGCAGATCATCTATTCTAAGCCTCTGCTAAAGGAGGTTGCTCAGGGCCATGTCCAGACAAGTTTTGGATATTTTTAAGTATGGATACTCCACAAGTTCTGTGAGAAACTTGTTGGTGTTCAACTAGCCTTACAGTAAAAAGTTTCCTTTTCCTTAATCAGAATTTCCTGTATTTCAGTTTGTACCGATTGCTTCTTGTCCTGTCACTGGGCACCATGGAGAAGAATTTGGCTATATATTCTTTATTTCCCACCTCGTCAGGAATTTCACATCAATGAACCATGAATCTCTTTAAAAATAACCTTGTACATGGTTTGATTTCAGCACAGTGCACTTCAAGATTTTTTTCCAGTTAGTTCTGCCTTCTTCCTTGCTGTTTCACCATGGGGAGGTGAAACCAGAAGGCCTGGTTTTGCTTCCCCGTTCCATCCAGTCTACCACTGTCTAGTAAGTTTGTGTGGGAAGCGCTGTTTTCCTCTTTTCCAAAGGAAATGAAAGAGAACATGTGCAGTAACAAACTGAAAACTTTAGTAGTGTGTGACCAGTTCACTTACTTTACTACATATGCTATTTCTTTCCGCTCATGGATACAACTCTTTTTCAGTGAATATTGAAGCCTTGTGGACGTTGAAGGAATAATAAGGTTCTAATGAACTGAAACAGGAAAAGTTTGTAGCAAAGAAAAATTGACATTTTTTTCCTCTATCAACAATGTACATAGTTAATTAACAAAAAACTTCTTACGCAATCTAACTTCTCTATGTTTGTATAAAGTAATACCTTTTTCAGCTATTTTTGGTAGGCTCAAAATCTATTTTCCAGGCCCCTAGCTCCCTGGTAACGTGACATCAATACAACAACCCAAGCTGGTGATTATATTAAAAGAAGAATATAATGAGACAGAAGATGTGGCTTGATCTTTTCCATTGATAAATTTAGAACTTGTAAAAGCTGAAGTAATAGTTGTAGTGATAAAAAGAAATATAATTTTATACTTGCTCGCTGTTCTAAAACACAGTGTATAATTATTGTAGGAGGAAGAAAAATACACCTCTCCCCCTCACTTTGCTACTTTTTCCTCTTCTCTTCAGTGTTGAAATCATCCAGTTTAATTAAATCACCAACCTATTTTTGCACAAAGGATGACATTTTATTAATGATGTATGATGTGCATTAGACAGAATTAACCCAATTTTCAAATGGATTTCAATTTGGAAAGGGCAACATGTAAAAATGTCTTGTAAATGTGTGGGATGATCTTGTTGAGCAGCTTTCTGAAGGAGATGGGATTATAAAATGATGAATAATTAGACAGCAGTCTTTCTCCCCACCTCAGTTCCTAGCACTGGTTTTGTAATCCTAGTTGATGGAAATTTAGGCTCCTGACATCATATATCTGGGATATATTAGGAGTAGAATGAAAAAAACAGATTGTGATGATTGCTAGCAAAATACATATAAAAACATACATGTTTATAAATACATATAATCTTCTCTGTAATTTTTAGCTAAATAGTAGCCTTCAGTGGATTTGTCACAGTATCACCACCTTAATCTGTTCTTTTTTTTTGGAAAAAAAAGGCAACAAAAAGAAGCAAACCAGTCTTCCAAACATTGTTTTGAATCATCACTTTTGGTAGCACTTTTTCCAATCACTTCTTTGAGGTATCAGGTTTCAGGCACCTCTTTGAATACAGGTCATTGCTTCTCGATTTGTGATTGTTTCAGAGTAGTTCCAATTAAGCTAGAGCTCAATTCCCTCTGCTTGCTGTTGCTCTCAAGCTAGATCTGCGATCTTGCCATCACTGTTGTGAATTGACCCAGCACAAAATGTTGTTCCCTACTCTATAAAAGACTTTGAGATTTGAGCCATGCTGGTTTATCTTCAGTGTCAGGACTCTTAGCTAAAAATGGAAGATCAACTAAACTACTCTGTAAGAATACATCATGTAGAACTTGAGATTGCTCTTAGGGCTTTATAACGTAGCATAATATCATTACCTTTTCTATATTTTGTTTAGTTTTGCCTTTTTTCTTAGTCATGTTGCTTTCCTAACATTAAATCCAAGGTACAGTAGTTCAGGTGATAATATTTCCAAGTAACTGGGAAGAGCTGAAGGAGACAATTTGTTGATCTTAGGATGTCAGGCACTATGGTTGTGGCAGTGGCTCACATTTCAAGCCTATTTTACCATAAGGAAATATGCACACAGAGCCTGAGCTCGAGACCGGGGTTAGAGTCCATCCACACTCACTTCACTTACAAACATATCAAACCCAGCAGGCTGGGATATTCACAGGAGATAAATGGTCCTACAGTAAGCTGTTGTGTAGATTTGAATTGGAAGAATTGTAAATTGTTAATGAACTTTTTTCTCATCTGCAAGAGGAGGAGATCATCTGCCTCATCATCAGACTTACATTACTGAAGTTTATCTGTGTGTATTAGAGGTCCACACTGTATTGCCAACTTCTCTTATTCTGAATTGAGAAATACCTTTCTAATTTTGCCTTTATAATTCACCCACACTGTATAGGTGTGGGTTTGTGGGTTTATTTTTAGTTTCACGGTGTTAGGAAAACTTCACTTTCATTTCCATATCTCCAAAATTTAACTTATGTTGAAACAGTTCTCAAAAATTATTAGCACCTGAGAACAGAATGTTGTGGAAGAGATAGTGAAAAGATTTGAAACAAACCATGAAATTGTCTTGTTTATGAACTGGCAAGACAAATCTCCCCTCTAGAAGTGTGAGATTAATTTTTTGCAACTCTTAGGTATGTGGTAAGGTGGTGAAGACACTAATTCTTGTATTTGGAGAAAAATTTTGGGGGGTCAGGCTGTGAAGTTCCAAACAAATTAGCAAATTATAGCGTTCCCATATTCTTCTTTATTGATGCAATAATAATTATATAGTGATTTTTGCTAAACTTTACATTCAAATGTTTTTGTTGCTTCTGTTGAGAGCAAAAGCTTGAGCTATAAGGTTGTTGGTGGTGTTCCTAATGACGTAAGGGCCAGAGGTCCCCACCATTCCAGCTGCCTGTGTTCATGTAACTGTGATTCCTGACCCAAAAGAGCAGACACTGTATAACAACAAGATTTACCAGCGCAAATATCCTGCCCTTATGCTTAGAACATCAATCTTGACTACTTACCTAGGAATGGAGGGAGGTAATCTTCTGCAGTAAGCTTGGAAATAGTGAAATATATTTTGGAATTTAAGATTGATATGAAAGGAGCCTTCTATGGCATTTACACCAAAAGTTTCTGTAAGAAGTGCATACATTTTGGATGGAATACTGATAAATAAAAGCAGATTGAGAGAGCACTGAACAAATTTAATTTAGCCCTCTTAAGGTGTTATCAGGAGAAATTTGGAATTACCATCCTGTCTATCTATCCTTTGGCCTGGGGAAGCACAGCTCTGTAACCAGGAACAGAGCTGGAAGTCAAGATCACAGTTTTGAACCTGATTTATTTATAAACATATGAGATGATTATTTATTTTTTCTATAGTTATTATTTTGATTTTATTTTTTCCCCCTCTTGCTCTGGATCTCATTCACAGTTATTGTCTAGCAGAACTTTGTGTTGGCCTCTGGAAGGGAGGGAAGGGCTGTGCTCTGTGTGCACCATTCTTAATAGACCTTTTCTCTCTTACAGAACAAGGAATGAAGAAAATGAGCAACATCTATGAATCAGCAGCCAATACCCTGGGAATTTTTAACAGCCCATGCCTGACTAAAGTGGAATTGCGAGTTGCATGCAAAGGCATATCAGACAGGGATGCCCTCTCGAAACCAGATCCTTGTGTCATCCTTAAAATGCAGTCACACGGCCAGTGGTTTGAGGTGAGTGTTTAATAGAATAGAAATTATTCTTCTGACACTTTATGATGGCATAGACCAACTGAGGCAAATTTCAAATAGCAAGAACAATGAAGAGAAGAAGTAGTTTGAAGCCTGTGGCATAATCTTGTAAGAATGAAGGGAGATTTTCCATTAGCCCTAACACACTTTGAGTCAAAAACTTTGAACTTCTCTTTGGAGTCTAGATTAAAAATCAAGATGATTAAAGAGTGAAGCATCATAAAACTTTCCCCTTTAGGCCTCATGTTTCCTAAAAGCTATATAATAACAGGGATAATGACCATCAGGCATTACAATAGCAAAAGAAAAATGCCATGGAAGAGAGGAATATTCATTACTAGTTGGCAAGGAATCTGGTGAAAGAGCAGCTTGATTTGCAAATTTTGAGCATTACAATTGGATTCATAGTTGAAGTTAGTAAAACTAATGTGTTTGCTGGATCAATTTGCCTTGTATTGCAGTTTGCATGTTTGATTAAAATCCTGCTTCATGTTACTTTACCTAATCTTGGAAATCATTTCATTGATAGCTGGAAATAGATGTCTTAGGGAAGTTCAAATTGTAAGTAAAGAACATTATAATGAAATGTAATATTTTTAATGACATCATGTTGGTTATTTTATTTCAAACTTATACTTGAGTGTTTGTGATTTAACAAGCTAAAAGGTGACTTTAAAAAAGAAAATAGAAGTACATAAGAGAAAATTTGTAATGTATTAAATCCAGTTAATTTTGGGTGCGTATTCATCTGTCTCCTTTCAAGAGTTTCAGCATTCAGCATAAGATTGTGTTATATATGAAAAGATAAAAATAATAACTGAGCATAGGCAGATAGCAAAATCCTAAATTCAAGGGTCTTTTAATTTAGTATTTTCAGCCAAATTTGTCAGACTTTGGGGATTTTGTTCCATTTATTCCAATTGTCTGGTTTTGACCTGTGGACCTCTGAAATTTTTCCAGACCAGTTGGCACCAGCATAGCAAAGTTAAGGTTTTTCTGATGGTATTCTTCTTCTTTTCATAGTTTTCTCTTGTGGAACCATTAAAAATGTCCCTGGTAGAAAACCAGATTAGAAGTAGATAGAAAACTCTCACAATTGTCTTAGTGCTACAAAATCAGTGTGTCCATTTAATTAAAATTTAAGGTGATACAATAGCCTGAAGAAAGTAATTTTAGCTAACTATGTAGAAAGAAGCATATAGCTGCACTTTGAGTAATCACATAAATACTAGAACCAAGCAATGTATTGAAGGTCAAAATAAGTGAAATGTCTTGTTTGGAAAGGGTAGAATGAAAACTTTTCCAGTATTTCAGTTCTCTGAATAACTGAGTGCATTTCACATACAGTTTGTCTCTGACCAGTTATAAGTGGGGTAAGTAGATTTAAATTATATATTCTGATGTTGTAACAGAGATTCCCTTTGTTTGATGTGGTTTTAATTTGGAAAGTTATTCTCTGAATTGAGTAATTCTTGCAGAACAGATCTGCCCACTGATATGATTCTCATCTTATGTCAGTTTCTCTTACTGTCTAATGGGAGTCCAGGGCATTCATTTTAGTATGAATAAAAAGGTTTTATTAGTTCATGTTCCTATCAGTGCTGTGGAGTGAATACAGCTCTGACATAATGAGTCTTTTCTGGCCAACCCATTCTCAACAGAATTTTTAATTAAGTTGCAATTGCTGAGCTAAATTGAGCAGAGTCACTCAGGTATAGATGAAGATTTAATTTGGTTGGAAGAATCTTCTGCTGATGGGAATCAATGATCCAGCAAGACCTGAGAAAGCAGAAAAATTACTAATTAAAAAAGAATAAATCTAGTTACCAGTGAAGTGAGTATATTCAATATAGAAATCACTAAATGGCAACCCAAACAGGAACAGAACTGAGGAGTTTTGTATATACGGATTTAATGCCTTCATGAAATTGTCTTGAATTTCCAGACACCTTAAACCCTTTGTAGGTTGGACATCTCCAAACAAACCGTAGCAAGATACAGTATTACTGAAACATGCATACTGATCACATGCTATAGTTGTTAGCAGGTTTTATCAACACGGAGTAGCTGGGTTGAAGGTGTCTGAAATACAGGTTATGGTCTTGCATATAAGTGCTTTTGAAATCTCTGAAAAGTACTGAGGACAGGCTGCACAGCTTCTATTAGGCCAGATGCAGCTGAAGCTTGTGGGGTTGGGCTGATGGGATTGCATTGTGCATGCAATTAGAGACACTAGGATGTGAGGGATTTACTCTACAGACACACATAATCCTTGAAAGTGAGGAATTTTTGCACTTTTATCTCTTGGAAGATTTTGATAAAACATGTCATCCCGTTGCTGAGGAGATTTCTTTTTCAGTTCTGCAGTACTGTGTATGCATATGTGTATGTTTGTGTAAATTGTGCCACCTGCACATGTAAATATAGAATGAAAACATGTTGACGCTTTTGTAGAGTGGGTAGATGCAGTTTCCAGAGATTAGAAATGTCATATAATTATTTGTTTTTTAATTGTGGTTTTTCTGTTTTGTTTAGTTTTGGGCTTTTCTTGTTTGGTTTGTTTTATTTTTTCTTCTTTCAGACACAGAATTGGTGAGGTTAGAAGGGACCTCAAGAGGTCACATAGTCCATCCCCTGCTGCTTAAGTGGGGACACCTACATCCAGTTGCCCAGGACAGTGTCAGACAGTTTTTGAATATATCTGAGGAGGGAGACTCTGCATAATCCCTGGGCACCCTGTGCCAGTGCTTGGTTGTTGTCACAAGTTCCTAATGTTCCTGTGTTTCAGTTAGAGGCCATTGCCTCTGGTTCTGTCACTAGCCACCAGTGAAAAGAAGCCTGACTCTGTCATCTTTAGACCCTCCCTTCAGGTATTACGTACGTTGGTAAGATGCCCCTGAGTGCTCTAGGTGTGTCGTCTACAAACTTGCTGAAGGCACAGTCTACCCCATCATCCAACTCACTAATGAAGGTGTTAAACAGGACTGGATCCAGTATTGACCACAAGAAGTGGTCCACTTCTTGTCCAACTGGACTTTACATCACTGATAACCAGGTTCTGGGCCCAACCGTTCAGCTGGTTTTCAGTCCACCTCACTGTCTGTTCATCCCTCCCCTTCATCAGCAGTTCCTCTATGAAGATCTTATGGGAGGCAGTGTTAAAGGCCTTACTGGAGTCCAGGTAGACAATATCCACTGCCCTTCCCTCATTTACCAGACCAGTCACTTCATCATAGAAGTCCATTCTGACTACTCATGATGATTTTCTTGTCCTTAATGTGCCTGGAAATGGTTTCCAGGATTAATTGCTGTATCAACTTCCTAGGAATCAAGGTGAGATTGAGATGCCTGTAGTTCCCTGGATGAGTTGACGATTGACACATTATTCCTCAGATGTGAAACCACTATGAACACAAGCAGGACATGGACAAGTACACAAAGAATCCTGGGAGATGTCCCCAGTTCTGGGACAGATATGCTTTCTGTTTTTCTCTTCCTGTCTGGGTAAATGTTTCCCCACAAACAAACCTGCACGTGCACAAACGTGCACACATACCTTCCCACCACATTTCTCTGTATATGAATGTTGACGCTGTCTGAAAAGCACTATCTCCACCAATCTAGAATGTAAATAATATATTGTGTCTCCCAGGAAAATCAGCAGTCTACTCTTTCTCTCATGTGAAGTTTGTATTTTTAGGCTGATGTGACAGGGTGTGATACAGAACAATTTAAGATTATGCTATCTGTATTACTACCCGGGGCTGAATTTTAGCTCTTCTGGCCTTTGTTTTAGGCAGGTACACACTGGCAGAGAGGCTAAACTGTTTGTTTAAGAGAATAATTCAGTGGCTGTTTTTCCATATTGATTTGAATGTGTTCAAGGAGTTTAATTATTGTAATAAGCTTCAAATGGTGAATGACTGAGGTACATGATGATAAATTCCTTTGCTCCAATGATTATTTTACTCACCTGCAGTGTGGATGTCCATGTGTAATAAATATTAATTGTGTATAGCATTGGAGTCTTCAGCCAAGATGTGCTAGTGCTGGCATTCTCATTAACTCCTTATTCCTAAAAAAGTAGCTTGGACCTGTGCACAGGTTGTTATCTGCATATGGCAAGTACCCATAATACATGTTATTTTGAAAGCTGAATAAGTTGCTGAGCTGTGTCTGATCATACAAGATTTACAAGAAAATGGGAGGTGTCATATAGCCTCACGTAGCAGATGGATGCCTGTAGCTATGAAAAGCGAAGTAGCCAGGTTTGGAAATCTGGGAGGGCTTCCTGTAGTTGTACTCTTACGACTTTCAGCAGGAAAATTTCAGGACATAGAGTATCTGCTACCTTGTAGATTTGAACAGCCAGCTGGAGTTTTTGCTTTTTATTTATTTTTCCTAAGTTTTTATTAAACTTGAAGTAACTGCAGAGCAGATAAAACAGTGCCCAAAGACAACATGCACTTGCTAAAATTCATATTGATGAAATTGGGTGGAATTGTTTGGATGGATAAGTTTGTTCACTGAAATATGTTTTTTGTTAAATGTTGTCTGAAGTCACAAATTTCGTTGAACTCAATGAGCTTTGATAAAAATTTGTAGGGCAAAATCATTACTTTCAATTTTGATATTTTTAAAGTAAAAGTTATTCACTTATTGTTTAGCATGACATTTCAAGGATTAGCTTGGCAAGATTAAACTAACAAAACTGAATTTTCCGACTTGTTTTTTCTTTTTTTTTTTTTTTCTTTGAGTATTAACCTGCATCCACATAGACCCTCATGCAAACAGATGGTAGAGACCAGAGACCTTGGCAATGCATTGAACTAGTTAAAGTGTAGAATAGCAGCAGAGCCTAATAAACAGGTTACATAGGAATCAAGGTATAGGAAGGACATAGTGTTGCTCTTCATCTGTCTTTGCTTTTCCACTTAATCCTGCTCTCTCTTTTGTTTCATTTCTGAATTCCATCATCCTTC